AACTATTATTGTTATGTATAGTATATGCATAATACAATACAGGACTATTAAACTGTTTGCAATGTTCATTTAGAGGCCTTTTGTTTTTTATGTTAATTTTATTCATAGGTGTGTTTTGGGTTTCTTAGAAAAACTTACCAGTGTGTAGAAAACCTAATTATCTTTGTATCTTAAACTTGCAAATGCAAATTTACTGAATTAATCAATTCTAATAGGTTTTTTTTGGGGGGGGGGAAGTATAGGTTTCTTCAGTACATAGACTCTTATTACCTGCAAACAGTGATCATGGACTGTCTTCCTCTTCATATCTCTTTTGTTTACCTTTAAAAAAATATTTACCTCACTTTTCTTCTTCTGCATGAATTCATTTTTATTTATTTCATTTGGTCATACATAATCCTTCTCTTCTAATATCTTTTGTATTTTTACAATTTTTATGCAATATAGTTTGATCATATTTCCCCCTCTTCTAATTCTTCCCAGATTCTCCACCTCCCTACCCACCCAACTCAGTATCCTCTCTCTCTTTTGAAAAAGAAACAAAAATGAAAATAAAACAAGAATAAAAACCAGAAAAATAACAAATAAAAGAATATAGGCAAAAGACAAATAAGAAAAAAACTAAATAAAACAGTCCACAAAAATACCACTGAGTTCATTTCCTCCTGGCCAACCACTCCTGGGTTCAAGACATGCCCTGAAATCTGATTGATATTCACATAGGAGAAATCTGATTTTTCCTTTATCAGTGGGTATCAGTTACAGAAAGTGTCTTCGTTTAGGGGTGGGACTCCGTCTGGCTTGATCTGTGCTGCTTCAGTCTCTGTGAGTTTATATATGGAAGACACTATTTCTTTGGAGTCATTTAGCACTATTATACTATTTCTGCTTCCTTTTCTACACAGATCACTGAGTGTTGAGGGGAGGGGTTTGATTCCATTTAAGACAGAGGGTTCCACAGACTCTCACTCTCTGCACATTGTCCAGTTGTGGGTCTCTGTATGAACAACCATATAGTGCAAGATGCTTCTTTGATGTGGGTTTAACCTCATAGTACTGATCTACATAGCATTATGTCATTAGGGGAAATTTTATTGCTATGTTCTTTTTAGCAGAATAATAGTACTTGGTTTTTCCATAGTTTATGGACCTATCTAGTTTCGTTCTATTTATCTTAATACTTTACCAGAGTCAGGTATGGGTTCCAATGCATTGACTGTCCTTAAATTTAATCAATAAGTGGTTGTGTCACAATTACATCAGCTTGTCTTGTAGGTATTTGAGTTGCAGGTCACAGTTTAATATTGATGATATTGATGATTCCCTTTCTCTTCTGATAGTGTATAGGGTAACTATCAGGACCATGAACACTAGCAGTAGGAGTGATGTTTCTAGTTAGGCACCAGCTCAACTTTTCTATGCTCAATCAAATTTTTCATGTTCAATGAGATATGTAAGTGCTGTCTTCAGCAATAGGACCTTACTATCAGATTGTAGTGTGAAAACAATAGCCTTGGCAATAGCTGTGATGTTTTGCGGTTTCAATGGGCCAATATGCTCATTCTGGGTTCTTTCTTCCTTCCTTTCCTTCTTCCTTCCTTCCTTCTTTCCTTTCTTCCTTCTTTTCTTTCTTTCTTTGGTTGTTCGAGACAGGGTGTCTCTGTATTGTTTTGGAACATGTCATGGAACTCACTTTGTAGGCCTCGAACTCACAGAGATCCACCTGCCTCTGCCTCCCGAGTACTGGGATTAAAGGTGGACACCATCAATGCCCAGCTTCATTGTGGGTTTATTAAATACAGTGTTTGCATGTTGAATTGTAATAATTCCATAGCTAATTTGTTCATGGATTTTTGTCAGGAAGAGTTTTGAATTTTTTTAATGTTTTTTTCTTCATCCATTGAAATGATTGGATATTTTTTTTATCTTTAATTTTATCTGTTTGTTGTGTTATAATTTAGGTTGTGTGAGTTTTAGCTTATTATCTAAGTAAAACTTTTAAGTGTTGTGAAATATTCTAGTATGTAGGATTTTCTTCATCTGTGGTGGTAGAGTTTGGTAAGGCTCTCATTACCCTGAAAAGGCCACAACCTACATGTAACTGAAGAATACCCCTACCCTGGAGTTGTGGAGCTGTGAGTGGTAGATGCCAGAATCTTTAGCTTCTCACTATATTTCTGTCTCAGGTCTATGATTCTTACATTGGTCCACTCTTCCTAGTACTGGTGTTCTCCCATGGCCTCTCATCTCAGAATATAGTTACATCTGTTGTTAAGGTTCCTCCTTACAGAAGAGGTGATGGCGCAGTACCTTCCAGCATTTTGAAATGTCAGGGTTAGTGGTTTTATATACTCACCCAGGGATTTATCTTAGTTTGAATTCCACAAGGAAGGTTAACCAACACAGTTTGAATTAGGGACAAAGAGGAGTAGAACATAAAATTCTGTTTAAAAAATTGAATCCTCCATGACAGTGCCCCTTACCAGCAGGAAGTAGTTTGGAAAGAACAATGCCCAAATTCCCAAATGTTGTCTATAAATGTTTGTTTTCATTTAAATGGACTTGGTTATATAGAATAAAAAAAATCAAAATGAAAAAAATTGTTACTCTTATAAAATATGTTTTGTTTGGCCTTTACTTTGAAACCACAAACTTGAGAAAACAGTTTAGAGCTCTTAACTAGTTTTGACATTTTGGAAAATATTATTGGTACAATAGTAGTAGTAAACTTTCTGCTGAAGTTAATATCTTTTATGTATTTTTCTGTTACTTTCTTAACTATTCATAACAAATTCATGAGTTTTCTCCTTCTATTCACGAACATATTAATTGCTTTTTTCTATAGGTAATGTAGGGGTCCCATAACCTTTACTGGCATGAATATTTATTTTATTTTATTTTATTTTATTTAATTTTATATAACAAAGTCCAATTAAATGAAAACAAACATTTATACACAATATTTGGGAATTTGGGCGTCGTTCTTTCCAAGCTACTTCCTGCTGGTAAGGGGCTCTGTCTTGGGGGATTCGAAGAAGATTCAGATATCCTGGCTGTAGTCTGTAGAGCTGTTTTGTCCAGCTGTTTTGAATGTAGGATTAGCTTGTACTCTGTTTCAGGCAGTCTGGCGTAATCAAACCTCATTGGTCTGGAAGGAATCCACATCTTTTCATTTTCTGTGGAAATAAATAGAAATCCTTTTCCCCAGTAACTTGTCCTTCAACTTAAATTTTGGAGTCAAAGCATTTTTTTAATTTAATTTATTGTTTTACATGTCGATCCCAGTTACCTCTCCCTCCCTCCCTCCCCCCAACCCTCCCTCCCTCCTTCCCTCCCTTTTACCCTCTCTGCCCCCTCATATGCACTCTAAACACCCTCCCCTCCCATCCCCCCAACCCAATTCCATGTGTAGGGGAATGCCATCCAGTTGGGGTCATGTAGATCTGACAGGTCCTGTGAAGTAGGGACTAGGGCTTCTCTCCTGTCTCTAGATTAAGGCAGTTATCCCTCCATGGGGGATGTGTTCGCAAAGTCCTTTTGTGCACCAGGGATACATCCTGGCTCCATTGTCTGAGGTCTCTTAGACTGCTCAGTCCTTCTGGCTGAGACCCATATTCAGGGGGGCCTGAGTCAGTCCCATGCTGGATTCCCAGCTATCAGTCTCGGGGCCCGTTAGCTCCTCCTTGTTCAGGTAAGCTGTCTCTATGTGTTTCTGCCGCATGGTCTTGTCCTCTCCATCTGCTTCTGGGTTCTAGTTCAACTCAGTGTTTATGTATGGGTGTTTGCTCCTATTTTCAACAGGCATTAGTTGAGGGCTCCATGGAGAAGTTAGTTGTTGATCTCACTCTCCGGGAAGGGCATTTATGATAGCCTTTCCACGGAAGCTGAGATTGTTAGTTGGGAGCAGTCTTGTAGTTCTCTCGACCTTTCTTTGAGTTCAATTTTATCTTCAAACCAATATTGGCTCCCTCTTTTATGTTCTCTCTCTCTGTCTCTGTCTCTCTCTCTCTCTCTTTCTTATCTTCTATTACTAACCAGGCTCAATCAACCTGGTCACACAGGTTTTCCTTTCCTCCCCCTCATTTTCTCCTACTTCTCTCTCCATTCACTGTCTTCCCCCACTTCACCTGAGCTCTGGGGAATATTTCTATTCATAAATTTAATAAATAAAGTCTATAGCCATGTCTTATTTCCAGAGCTTGGACTCTATTCGGGAATGGCCATTTAGAATTAGATTTGTTCCTTTCTTTGTTGGTGATGATTAATACAGTCATTTCTAGTCAATTCAGTATGAAGTCTTTCTGCAAATGACTTTGACAGTAATTGAAGGAAGGAAAGAATGAGATGTGGCTGACTTTTTTCCCTTCTTTTGACTCTGAATTGTTAGCATCTTAGTATTTACTGCTACTGGTTGTCCAGAGGTAGAAGAAAATTGTACATCTGATCCCTTGACAGGGAGTTATGTTTGTAGAGATTAAAAAAGAGAAACCATATTCAGATTAAAATTTATTGTCAAATTTTAATGCAATACAATTTTCTGATTATTTTATGTAGGAGATCATGACAATAAATTCAATAGTAATACAGATACCAATGATGACACAAAAGATGAAAATATGAATGTCCACCCAAGAAACAAGCAAATTCTTTTTTCAGTATATGGATGGGTTAAAATATTACTAGGAAAATTGTGACTCCTAAACTGTGTTCTCTGCTTCTTGGATAAGTTTTTAATCAACAAGTAAAATGGCATGTGGAAAATAAAATGCTTATCTCACAGAAGTTTTAAATGCTCATTTTAATTTTAAACACCCAAATTATATGTTTTATTTTTGTACTTCTGAATATAGTTTCCAATACTTTTTACTTAATTTACTTTCTTGTCTAAGAAGCTCAGAGTCTATGGAGTCTACAAAAAGATCTTGCACCAAACAGCATTAAAGTAGTAATACAGTTAATATGAAAGAATATACTACCTACTGCCAAAAATAAGGAATCATGTTAATGTTTGTTGTCTTACTATGCTATTTTCTTCTTTGGTTTAGTTTTTATCTTGGTTTATCATGTTTTATACTGGCTTTTCAATCAAAATAATGGTGTCTTTGTTCTTGGACATATGTGTATAGTGGAGTGTTGCTATCTACATAGGCAGAACCTGAGTATATTTCCTTGCTTTCATGATAACCTCTGGATTCAGAGTCTCTTGTTTTCTTGTCATCTACATACTGGCTGATTTTTCTGATGATCCCTGATGTGTGAGATCCTGGCCCCTGACCTTGTCTTCCTGCACCCAGTGTGGTTGTACTTGGCAAATATTTACACTCTTCGGTTCCCATACAGTATAGGCTCTGAAGAGAGTTACTGGGAAAAGATTTTTGATTCCTATTTCTGCTGTCACTTGACAGTTGGTTATCACTTGGTTGTCCATGGCTACATGCTTGCCTATTATAAGTGCTGAATTCAGATTGATTTCCAATTGAATTGGATTCTGAGTGTTCCTGAAATGATATATATTGAGTATGGCCAAAAACAGATTGGTCAGTTGACTGGCTTTGGGTAGTTTCTGGTTTTGCCTTTACACTGTATCCATAATTAGCATCACAGTCACTTACTTGTTCAGAAGTTACTACAGAATGTCCATGACTAGACACTAACTTTCCAGTTGTACAGGATTCAGTAAGATTGTAGTAATCAACAGGCTGCCCATGATCTAGGTCTGACTCTCCATATTTTAACAGCAACCCTCCCATCCCTTCATTTTCTGTGGATCCGACATTCTGAGAAAGAGAGAGAGACTGCCCATATCTTGACCCATGTGTGTTCAGAGATTGGTGTGCTGACCTCAAAGGACTAGAATTGCGGCTGCTAGTCCTGCTGCCTCCAGAGGGCCCATATCCTGATTGTCCATAGTCATAGTCTGCACGGCCATAGCTTCCATGTCTCCAATGCTGACTAGAAACATAGTGGTTTCTAGTACTTGGTGACTGAAAGTGTTTTCTTACAGACTGGCCATGTGTTGTTCTAGATTGTTTTCTGAGACTGTCACTTGACTGCCTGTGAGTATTATGAGATGCAGTATAACTATAACCTGAATCTCCATGATGTGATCCAGACAATCTATGAGAACCCCCAAAATCTTCTTCAGAATGACTATCACTGTAATCATAAGAACTAGGTGTCCCAGAATTTGTCAAAGACCCAGACTGGGGAGAAAGCTCATGAGAACCTTGGGTATGCTGGGAAGAGTCTCCATAATGCCCATAAGAAGATGCCTCGGTTCCTTGAACTCGAGAATGAGAAACTTCTTGTGATGATGCTCTATGTCCTCTTGTGGAATCAGAGTTTCTCCTTGAAACAACTGAGTGTTGCTCACCCTCACTGGACTCAGGGTGAACAGGGCTCCCTCGGGGACTTCTCCCAGACCCTGACTGTGGGGACTCCCCATGCCCAGCCTGAGGCTGTCTACTGCTGTCCCTGGATTGCCTCTGAGGTCTTCCCTGTCTGCCATGACTTAATGAACCAGATTCTCCATGTTGAGATCCACCATGAGAGGGTTGAGAGTGTCTATGAGATACTACGGAGTGTTCCTCTCCCTCACTAGACTCGGGGTGAACGGGGCTCCCTCGCGGACTTCTCCCAGACCCTGACTGTGGGGACTGACCATGCCCAGCCTGAGGCTGTCTACTGCTATCCCTGGATTGCCTCTGAGGTCTTCCCTGTCTGCCCTTCACTCCTGACCCAGACTCTGCATGCTGAACTCCACCATGACCCTGAGAGGACTGAGAGTGTCTGTGAGATACTACTGAGTGTTCCTCTCCCTCACTGGACTCAGGGTGAACGGGGCTCCCTCTGGGACTTCTGCCAGACCCAGACTGCGGGGACTGCCCATGCCCAGCCTGAGGCTGTCTACTGCTGTCCCTGGATTGCCTCTGAGGTCTTCCCTGTCTGCCATGACCTGATAACCCTGACTCTCCATGTTGAGATCCACCACGAGAGGTTTGAGAGTGTCTATGAGATAATCCTGAGTGTTGCTCTCCCTCACTAGACTCGGGGTGAACAGGGCTCCCACTAGGACTTCTCCCAGACCCTGACTGTTGGGACTGCCCATGCCCAGCCTGAGGTTGTCTACTGCTGTCCCTGGATTGCCTCTGAGGTCTTCCCTGTCTGCCATGACTTAATGATCCAGATTCTCCATGTTGAGATCCACCATGAGAGGATTCAGAGTGTCTATGAGATACTACTGAGTGTTCTTCTCCCTCACTAGACTCGGGGTGAACAGGGCTCCCACTAGGACTTCTCCCAGACCCTGACTGTTGGGACTGCCCATGCCCAGCCTGAGGTTGTCTACTGCTGTCCCTGGATTGCCTCTGAGGTCTTCCCTGTCTGCCATGACTTAATGATCCAGATTCTCCATGTTGAGATCCACCATGAGAGGATTCAGAGTGTCTATGAGATACTACTGAGTGTTGTTCTCCCTCACTGGACTCAGGGTGAACAGGGCTCCCTCTGGGACTTCTGCCAGACCCAGACTGCGGGGACTGCCCACGCCCAGCCTGAGGCTGTCTACTGCTGTCCCTGGATTGCCTCTGAGGTCTTCCCTGTCTTCCATGACCTGATAACCCTGACTCTCCATGTTGAGATCCACCACGAGAGGTTTGAGAGTGTCTATGAGATAATCCTGAGTGTTGCTCTCCCTCACTAGACTCGGGGTGAACAGGGCTCCCTCTAGGACTTCTCCCAGACCCTGACTGTTGGGACTGCCCATGCCCAGCCTGAGGTTGTCTACTGCTATCCCTGGATTGCCTCTGAGGTCTTCCCTGTCTGCCATGACTTAATGACCCAGATTCTCCATGTTGAGATCCACCATGAGAGGATTCAGAGTGTCTATGAGATACTACTGAGTGTTCCTCTCCCTCACTGGGACTTCTGCCAGACCTAGACTGTGGGGACTGCCCACGCCCAGCCTGAGGCTGTCTACTGCTGTCCCTGGATTGCCTCTGAGGTCTTCCCTGTCTGCCCTTCACTGCTGACCCAGACTCTGCATGCTGAACTCCACCATGACCCTGAGAGGACTGAGAGTGTCTGTGAGATAATCCTGAGTGTTCCTCTCCCTCACTGGACTCAGGGTGAACAGGGCTCCCACTAGGACTTCTCGAAGACCCTGATTGTGGAGACTGACCATGTCCAGCCTGAGGCTGTCTACTGCTGTCCCTGGATTGCCTCTGAGGTCTTCCCTGTCTGCCATGACTTAATGATCCAGATTCTCCATGTTGAGATCCACCATGAGAGGATTCAGAGTGTCTATGAGATACTACTGAGTGTTGTTCTCCCTCACTGGACTCAGGGTGAACAGGGCTCCCTCGGGGACTTCTCCCAGACCCTGACTGTGGGGACTGCCCATGCCCAGCCTGAGGCTGTCTACTGCTGTCCCTGGATTGCCTCTGAGGTCTTCCCTGTCTGCCATGACTTAATGATCCAGATTCTCCATGTTGAGATCCACCATGAGAGGATTCAGAGTGTCTATGAGATACTACTGAGTGTTCCTCTCCCTCACTGGACTCAGGGTGAACAGGGCTCCCACTAGGACTTCTCCCAGACCCTGATTGTGGAGACTGACCATGTCCAGCCTGAGGCTGTCTACTGCTGTCCCTGGATTGCCTCTGAGGTCTTCCCTGTCTGCCATGACTTAATGATCCAGATTCTCCATGTTGAGATCCACCATGAGAGGGTTGAGAGTGTCTATGAGATAATCCTGAGTGTTGCTCTCCCTCACTGGACTCAGGGTGAACAGGGCTCCCTCGGGGACTTCTCCCAGACCCTGACTGTGGGGACTGACCATGCCCAGCCTGAGGCTGTCTACTGCTGTCCCTGGATTGCCTCTGAGGTCTTCCCTGTCTGCCATGACTTAATGATCCAGATTCTCCATGTTGAGATCCACCATGAGAGGATTCAGAGTGTCTGTGAGATACTACTGAGTGTTCTTCTCCCTCACTAGATTCAGGGCGAACAGGGCTCCCACTAGGACTTCTCCCAGACCCTGACTGTGGGGACGACCCCTGTCCAGCTTGAGGCTGTCTACTGCTGTCCCTGGATTGCCTCTGAGGTCTTCCCTGTCTTCCAGGACCTGTGGAACCAGATTCTCCATGTTGAGATCCACCATGAGTGGATTCAGAGTGTCTATGAGATACTACTGAGTGTTCCTCTCCCTCACTAGACTCGGGGTGAACGGGGCTCCCTCGGGGACTTCTCCCAGACCCTGACTGTTGGGACTGCCCATGCCCAGCCTGAGGCTGTGTACTGCTGTCCCTGGATTGCCTCTGAGGTCTTCCCTGTCTGCCATGACTTAATGATCCAGATTCTCCATGTTGAGATCCACCATGAGAGGATTCAGAGTGTCTATGAGATACTACTGAGTGTTCCTCTCCCTCACTGGACTCAGGGTGAACGGGGCTCCCTCTGGGACTTCTGCCAGACCCTGACTGTGGGGACTGCCCATGCCCAGCCTGAGGCTGTCTACTGCTGTCCCTGGATTGCCTCTGAGGTCTTCCCTGTCTGCCATGACTTAATGACCCAGATTCTCCATGTTGAGATCCACCATGAGAGGATTCAGAGTGTCTATGAGATACTACTGAGTGTTCCTCTCCCTCACTAGACTCGGGGTGAACGGGGCTCCCTTGCGGACTTCTCCTAGACCCTGACTGTGGGGACTGACCATGCCCAGCCTGAGGCTGTCTACTGCTATCCCTGGATTGCCTCTGAGGTCTTCCCTGTCTGCCATGACTTAATGATCCAGATTCTCCATGTTGAGATCCACCATGAGAGGATTCAGAGTGTCTATGAGATAATCCTAAGTGTTGCTCTCCCTCACTGGACTCAGGGTGAACAGGGCTCCCACTAGGACTTCTCCCAGACCCTGACTGTGGGGACTGACCATGTCTGGCCTGAGGCTGTCTACTGCTGTCCCTGGATTGCCTCTGAGGTCTTCCCTGTCTGCCATGACTTAATGATCCAGATTCTCCATGTTGAGATCCACCATGAGAGGATTCAGAGTGTCTATGAGATACTACTGAGTGTTCCTCTCCCTCACTAGACTCAGGGCGAACAGGGCTCCCTCTAGGACTTCTCCCAGACCCTGACTGTGGGGACTGACCATGTCCAGCCTGAGGCTGTCTACTGCTGTCCCTGGATTGCCTCTGAGATCTTCCCTGTCTTCCATGACCTGATAACCCTGACTCTCCATGTTGAGATCCACCATGAGAGGATTGAGAGTGTCTGTGAGATAATCCTGAGTGTTGCTCTCCCTCACTGGACTCAGGGTGAATGGGGCTTCCTCGGGGACTTCTCCCAGACCCTGACTGTGGGGACTGACCATGTCTGGCCTGAGGCTGTGTACTGCTGTCCCTGGATTGCCTCTGAGGTCTTCCCTGTCTGCCATGATCATGTGACTCTGACTCTCCATGTTGAGATCCACCAAGTCCCTGAGACGATTGAGAGTGTCTGGGAGACACTACCGAGTGATGTTCACTCTCACTAGACTCTGGGTGAACGGGGCTCCCTCTGGGACTTCTTTCTGAACCTGACTGTGGAGAATGCTCAAGTCCACCATGTAGCTGTCTACTGCTGTCCCTGGATTGCCTCTTCGAACTTCCCTGTCTGCTATGACCTTTGGTTTCTGACTCTCCATGGTGATATTCCTTCTTTTCAGACTTCCCTTTCCCTGAGCTAAATGAGTGACCAGATCTAGACCCATGCTTTCCAAACCCAGATGAGTGTCCTGTTTGAGACTCATGCTTTCCAGAGCTAGATGACTGACCTAAACCAGTTCCACTCTGCCCAAATCCAGATGGCTGACTATATCCAGACTCATGCTGCCCAAACCCAGATGCTTGTCCGGAGTGAGACCCATGTTGCCCAAACCCAGATGACTGACCTGAACTAGTCCCATGCTGCCCAAACCCAGATGACTGACCAGATCCAGACTCATGCTGCCCAAACCCAGATGACTGACCTGAACCAGTCCCATGCTGCCCAAATCCTGATGACTGACCAGATCCAGACTCATGCTGCCCAAACCCAGATGCCTGTCCGGAGTGAGACCCATGTTGCCCAAACCCAGATGACTGACCTGAACTAGTCCCATGCTGCCCATACCCAGATGTCTGACCAGATCCAGACTCATGTTGCCCAAACCCAGATGCCTGTCCTGAGTGAGACCCATGCTGCCCAAACCCAGATGACTGACCTGAACCAGTCCCATGCTGCCCAAATCCTGATGACTGACCAGATCCAGACTCATGCTGCCCAAACCCAGATGCCTGTCCGGAGTGAGACCCATGTTGCCCAAACCCAGATGACTGACCTGAACTAGTCCCATGCTGCCCAAACCCAGATGACTGACCAGATCCAGACTCATGCTGCCCAAGCCCAGACTGACCTCTGTTTGACCCATGTTTACCACAACCAGAGGATTGACCTGATGCAGTACCATGTTGACCACAGCAAGACTGACCTGATCCATGTCCATGTTGTTGTAAGCCAGAGGACTGTCTTGAGTTTGTTCCATGTTGTTCACAGCAGGATGGCTGTCCTAAGCCAGACCCATGCTGACCACATTTGGAAAATTCATTCGAACTACACCCCATTTGATGAGAGCTTGAAGATTGTCCACAGGAACTGGTTCCATGTTGACTGTTACCAGAAGATTGAGTTGCTCCAGATCCACAGCATGGTGAATGATTTGAACCCATTTTCTGCTGTCTCCCACAGTTCTGTGGCTGACTACATTTTTGAGATCCATACCCCCTTTGACTACAAGACTGGCTACAGGATCTAGGTTCAGGTTGAAAACATCTAGAAGACTGACCTCCTGAAACACACCCATAACCTTGTCCTCCACTAGTTCCTGATTGACATCTTGACTGGGTACAACAAGATTGATTTCCTTGCCTCCCAGATCTACTTGCCTGACAAGAACTTGAAGCATTTTGTGGTCTGCAACATTCACTAGAATTGCTGTGACCACATGCATGACTTTGTATCTTACTGTTTCCTGAACTTTCAGAGCTAGGTCCAAGCTTTTGTTCTCCGCTCTTTCTTGACTGAGTAGAATTTGATTCATGTTTGTTCTTCTCCAGTCCATGTGATGATCCACTATGACTTTTCCTTCCCTGACTATCTAACCTAGATCCAGATTCACTTTCTTCCCCAGATTCTCTAGAGTCCCTAGCATGTAGCTTGTTTCTTTTTTCTTCTAGCTCTTCAGAGCTGGAACCACGTCTCTCTTCATTACTGCTCCAAGAGTGAACAGAGCTAGAGCCATGGTGTCTTTTCTTAGGTCCCTCTGAGCTGGATAATTCACCTTGCCTTTCTAATCTCCTAGAGTTGGACCTATGTCTATGTTTTGCAGTTCCCAATGAGCTCCCAGAACTATGTCCATGTTCCTCTCCCTCACTCCAACTTGAATGTCTGAAACCTAATTTCTGTCTTGGTGTCTCTTCTTCTGTTTCACTTTCTTCCTTTTGATGATGATGACCATGCCTACGCTTCTTTGACCCTGAAGCTTTACAGTATTCTTTTCCAAGAACCTTGTTGCAGGCCATAGCCAGTTTGAATACCATCAGAAGAAACTCAGTAAAGTCTAGTCTTCGATCATGATCTCGATCCAGCATATGCATGATGACATCTACTGTGTCTGGATCATCTGGATTCTGTATATGAGAGACACACCAAGGAAGACTTGGTCAGCCCAGCCTCATTCTCAAGTAAAATAATCTAGAAGCACCTAGTTTATATTGTGTTATGTGATTTTAATTTATTTGAGTATTACTTTAGATTAATAGAACCTACCATATATGAAAGGTTAATAGAAAATAAAGACTGTTGTGATCTGTGGAAGAAGAACCTCCACAATATTGTTCCCCATTTGTTAAAATAATCAATCAATCAATCAATCTGTTAATTTCTTAGAACATATTGATTTACTTGGAATGGGAAGCTTGAGTGAATGAGAAAGTTGTAGTTTACAAGGTAGAAGGGCACAGGAATGTATGGAAGAAACATGTGTTTAAAATATGTGCTGATTTAATAGATTTATGAGTCACTAGCTCAAAAGACTATTACTTGGGTTTTCTCAAAATTGGATGGGACTGTGCACTTTCCACTAATCTTGGTCTTAGAACATGTACAAACCCCCAACAGCCTCCAGACTTGACACATACCTTCAGAATTGGACGAAACTCTTTCTCCAGAAGTTCCTTTAGCTCATCCTTGCTCAGTGTGCCACATTCTCCATCTTGCTTGGTGTATTTGTAAAATATATCAATGACGGTGACAACACTTCTTAAGAGGTCTGTCATCTTTACCCCCAAGATTAAATGAACCTAGAAAGAGAAAGAAACAGAGATAGAGAAAGAAAGAGACACAAAGAGGACTCATTTTCTTTTCTTTTAACTTACCAACAGGTCTTATTTTAATATAATCCAGTGGTTCTCACCCTTCCTAATGCTGACACCCTTTAATATAGTTCTTCATGTTGTGGTAACCCTCAAATATAATTATTTTCATTGCTACTTCATAACTGTAATTTTGCTAGTTATGAATCATAATGTGAATATATGTAGGATAATTGATCTGTGACCCCTATGCAAGGGTTTTTAGACCCCTCTCAAAGGAGTATTAACCTATAAGTTGAGAACTGCTGATAAAATAACTTCTAAGACCTCATCAATGTCAACATATAATTATGGTGCAGAATTTTTGTTGATGAGTCAACACAATGGAAAACTTGGGCATGTTCCTGAACTAACTGGGATGATATCAAGTCTCCATATTATTTGTTAGATGAATGTATTCTTTATATACTATCTCTTTGAGTATTTTGGTATCCTGGGTGTTACTCTGTGTTTCTAAAGTTTCCAGTACTACCTAGATTCCATGGCCCTAGTCTATGTCATTTCTCCTGTTCTCTCCTATCCTTTTCTCTTCCTCTCTATGCCTCTCCTTGCCTATTATTTTCTTTTCCTCTCTTTCCTTTTTGTTTCTTTCCTTGCATGAGTGTGACATATGTATCTGTTTGTGTGGGTGTGTATGCATGTTTGTGTTTGGGAACAGATGCCTATATACAGGAATGTGTGTGGAAACCAAATCATTTTTCACATTGCCTTTATATGTGAGTGAATTATGTGTGCGCGCGTGCACATATGTGTGTGTGAGTGTGTGATATGTGAGGGGGTGTGTGTCTGTTTGTATTTGTTCATGAGAACAGGCACATGTGTGCCACAGTGCATGTGTAGAGATCAGAGGACAACCTCGGGTGTTGCTTGACATTGTCCACATTATTTGAGTCATGGTTCCTTTATGTGTGTTGTTCATCACTGTGTTGTCAGACAAACTATAGGAGCATGGGGATTTCAGATGTGTACTACTATGGCCAGCTTTATGTGGGTTCTAGGCATTTAAACTTGGGTACCTACACTTGTATTGTAAGTTCATTAGACACTGAGCTATTTCCCTAGCCTTCCACATTATATTTGAGACAAGATCTCTCAATGAACATGACACTCATGGATTTGGCTAGATTGGCTAGCTAATGGGCTCTAAAGAGTCACCTATTTCTGTCCCTAACTCAACACTGGGTTACAAACACATGCTACCACACCCAGCTTTTACATGGGTGCTATGCAACTGAACTCAGGTCCTTATGCTTGTATGGCAGTCATTTTACCTATTAAGTTGTTTGCTCAGGCTCTTTTCTCTTTTCTTTTCCCTTCCTTCTGTTTTTTCTTTTCTTTTTATTTTTCAGACAGGATCTCACATAGCTCAGGTTAGCCTCAAAAAGTTGCTTTGGAGCTAAGTTTGGCAAGTGACTCCTAATCTCTCTTGCTTCTACCTCCCCAATGGCAGGATTAGATGAATGCTCCACCATTCCCAGCTGAGACAAAAGTGACAGATACCTTAACATCTAAATCTTTATTGTTCATCAGAAATCAAACTATTCCCAAAAACACTATGGAAAATAAAAAGTGGGTAAGTGTGTCAATAATACCTTGGTACTATAAACCTAGAGGTAGGATAGCACTTATCCTAGTTCAGAACCTGTCACATTATCAACCCTTGATTAAACACCATTCCTTCTAAATGTTAGCAATTCAGACAAACCCTTGAAAATGGAGAATTAAATCTCAAAGCTCTCCAAACTATCACAGAACCACAAAGAAACTACACTATACTACTTGTCTCTTTCACATGCCTAGGAAAGATGGCATGTGGAAAAAACTAGGGAGAATATGAGATGACCTAGAACAGTGGTTCTCAATATTCATAATGCTGTGACCCTTTAATATAGTTCCTCATATTATGGTAACTGCACCATAAAATTATTTTCATTGCTACTCCATAACTGTAATTTTGCTACTATTGTGGATCATAATGTAAATATCTGATATGCAGGATATCTGATATGAGACCCTGTGTAAAAGTTGTTCAACACACGAAGTGGTGGAGACCCACAGATTGAGAATCTGTGTTCTAGATGAAGACAGAATTCTACTGGATTTATTCTCCTTATTAAAAGCATATTGATTTCTAAAGACTCAAGAATAAACTAAATTAACCAAACCAAATAGCAAACCCAAACTAAAAGAAACAACAACAAAAGGAAAAGTAGCAAAATATGGTATTCTTTATGCTCTAGCTCAGACTCAGCTCACAGTATCTGGCACAAGAGCATCAAATACCATAGATTTAAATTTCTCTCACCTGGTTCACCAAAGGAACAAGTAGGATAAGGCCTGATGCAGCTTGCAGGGTGTTGATAGATTGTGACAGTGATCCTTATATAAGCTTCTCACTTGGGCGCTGTTTTCTGTAGGATGGGCTGATTCATTTCTAATCAAATTTAACTCCACCCCTAGCATGTTTATCTTCCTTCTTCACATTCTCGCCTATAAGATGATTGCAGAAAGGGTGGTAATGGCCCAACCTTCCACAATAGAGACAAGCTCTGGGACACTCTCCTGTGGGGTCATACACAGTGAAAGGCAGAGACTTTGTTGGAGAGGATTTGTTTGTGCAATTGGTTTTCTTTATATAGTATTCAAAGAAAATAGCAGAGTATAAGATACTTGGCAAATGTACAGTGAAGTTTTTTAAATTGCAAATGAATCCAGCCACTAAGCTTATCCAATTCATTGCTTTTACAACAATACTATGCTGCCATTTTTTGAGAAATTACTGTATTCAGATACTGTGTTGAATATGTCTCTCTTATTATGTCTCATAACATTTGTATGTGTATGTTTTTCCAACATTACAAATGAAGACATAGTTTGAAAAGCATTCAAAGTCATAGCTATATGATGGAAGAACCAAGATTTGAACATATGACTCTTATTGTAGTGCTGTTGCTTACCCTTACTATATATGTTAGTTTATTCTTATATATAACCATTATGCAAAAATGAATCTGAGACTTATACCATATATACACCATTTTAAGGGTTCCAGGTCTACTAAAACATAAATAATATAAAAGACTAATGTATGGGATGCTGCAAGCTATGAAAAGAATAAATATTTTCTGATCCTGGGTAAGCTCTTTGGCTATCCAAGTATAGGGTCCATGAATAAAAGTAATGTTTTCAGAAGTGTTGAAGATGAATTCAGAGTAGGACTTTCTTCCAGTGTTCTACTATTCACTGGTAATCTGTCATTTTAGGTTAGGCCTAGTCTCTTGGGAAAGTCCATGTACATAATGTATCTCATGTGTGTTTAAGGATAGCAAAATAATCAGAAAACTGAATTAGGCATCATAAATTACCTCTTTACCTCTTCTGTACTCACTACCAGGCAATAACAGTAGCAATTACTGTCTTCAGTTTTAACTACTCTTTTTTATTTCTCAGGTAAACTTATAAGGTCAATACATATTGCCTCCTCCCTTACAAATCATGAAATGAAAGTATAAAGAAAAATTGTAAATGTGATTAAAAGTAACTCATTCTACTGGATGCTGAAGTCTGGCCTATTGCAGATTCACCACACATCTCGGGACTGTCATCTCCTGTCTGGTTACTGCTTTGGGGTCAGCTGTCATTCAGACAGTCCCAAGAGCTTGGCAATCATGTAGAATGAATATCTGTTCATAGACATGCTAATGGTTTTGGCAAAGGGACTCCTGAACTAATACAACTGCAGAAAAGTTTTTCCGATGGCTGTTATAGTCCTTTTCAGTTGTATGACTCTTTTGAAATTGTGTTTCTTTTTGTGAAAGTGGAAATTTCAGGAAGATGTGAAGGCCTCAGACCCATACCATGTATAAAGCTAGCCTTGCACTAAATTCCAACATTCATTTGGAACTTGGAAACTTCTACAGCCTGCTGAATCTCAGAATTTTGCCAATTCATTTTATTTATTTATTTATTTATTTATTTATTTTTGGTACTCTTGGTGCTCAGTCTTTTTGTTTTGTTTTGTTTCTTTGTTTTTTTTACTTGCTTAGCATAATGGATAAAAATATAATCCTTGTAGTCAGAAAGAATTGAGTTTAACTTTTATATCTGCCTCTCACTAGTTGTGTTCCTTGAATAACTAACTTCTCTTGACTTCTGCTTCCCAATTTAAAGAATCAGAATCAAAGCACTTGCTCACTGATGGAGGAGACACGTGACCTGGCTAACAAGTTAATTTGTGTTAAGCGTTTCATGCCATCCAAAGTAGAGGTCAATAATAGGCCCCCAAAAGTCAGAAATACTATGCCTTTGTCAAAAGCATTGTCCAGAAGGTAATTTGCAACTTTTAAAAAAATAATATATCTATTTAGATATATTCCATATACCATAAAAATTGGACTTCAAAAATATACAACTTAGTGGGTCATAGTTGTGCTAGGCTGTGAAATAAATAATGGCTCCTACAGAGTCAGTACCCTTGGGAAGTCTCCATGAACTTCCCATTGCTTCGGTTTCCTTTTTTGATAACCACCAAATGTTATTATTATGTGAGCACAAGTAGATATGTCAAGAGTTTAGAGCAGCAATCTGGAACAAGTATTGTCCCTACCTAAGAGGGACCTAAGTTCTTCAACAAGGAACAAAATTTTTGGTATTTTAGGACGTAAAGGTTGCCATGATGATATCTACAGAGATTTCTACCTACCTAACTTCAAAAGGTTATAGTCTGAGGGAGCAGAAGCCTGGGGCACCAAGCAGGGCACTCTCTGGTATGCTATTCCCCTGTACATGGGCCTCCTTCCTTCAGGTTCTCTCATTACCCTCTGTTTACCCAACCACATCCACCCTGGTCTGCATTGTCATGGGCCATTTGGTCATGCTCATGTGCTATTGGCCACTGCATGCACACCTTATATTATTAAAACAAAGTTTAACTTCATGTGTGG